TCCTTCAAAGAAATCAGATCCTTCCTCAGTGAATGATTTGAAATGAATCGCTATAAAAAGTCTTTTCCTGGTTTATATTTATCTCAAACTGATATGGTGTAATCTTATACGCATTATTTGTCTTACAGGGCTTATTTAAGGCTTTTTAAAAATTGATTCCAGTGTTTATGATCACTTTCCACAGTATATTTTTCCCCAAATATTACTGGTGAAATTTCTCACACGCAAATACAATAGCTAAGTTTCCTTTCAATTGAGCATAATTTTCTGTATCTGTTATGCCTAGATGCATATGCCACTGGTAAATTTTCTGCAGTAGACTGCCTAGTCCTTCTTGAGATGCATCTACAGAAAAATACTGCAATTAATATCATATACTGTAAAACTGGTTATTACCAGAAATTTTTAGTCTTCTAAAATGTTTTTCATGTGTTCATTCCAGTTCCGATAAATGTTTTTTCAACAATCTCTAAACATGATGTAATTCTGAAACATTAGGTATAATCTAGAAACATATGTAATCATTCCTAGGAAGTTTCTAATTTTTCACTTTTTGGTGGTTTTTTTATATCTAGAATACATTGTCATTTGTTTTAAACCATCTTTAGAAAATATATGTCCCATATATTTCACTTCATCAGCCCAAATTTACATTTTTAAATTAAATTTAACCATTCTTTTCTCTGGCTCTGTCCAACAACTTCTTAATCTTGAATCATGTCTTTTTTATCTGTACCAAACTAATAAATCATCTATATATATTTGAAACTCCTTCTAAATCACAAAAAATTCAGAAAAACTTCTGTGGAAAACTTCTGGTGATGAACAGTCCATTCCAACCTTCAAACAATATCTACCAAAACAGAGTGTTAAATGAGTAATTCACAACTTGAATCTGACAGTTTAATTGCCAAAATGCTTTTTTGCATCTAAATAAAGACTTTGCATTTGTCATTGAGTGAAATTTCTTCAAAGGTTGGTATGTGATAATGTTCTCTCAGATATTTTGGTTAAGGTGCTGAGGATCTAAACACACTTTAAATTTCATCCTTTTCCGTACACCACTATTAATTCACGAAATTCTGTTGGTTGGTTTAACTTCTTTATAATACCATCTTTTTCAATTCTGCTAATTCTTTTTTAATGGATTTAATAAGCTAAGTGGAATTTTCCTACAGGGTTCTATTTACCAACAGCTCTGGTTTAATTAATATGATATGTATATCCAGTTAAATTCCCAGTTCCTTTAAACAAATCTTGATATCCTTTTAAAAGTTCTGGAACTTTTCGTAGAATCAGGACTTACTGTAAAACTTTGTATTAGGTTAATTTTTGCAATGTAGGTAACCCTAAAATAGCTGGAAATTTTATCACATGCTACAACTTAAAATTCTATTTCATCCTGTCCCCTTCGATGTTTCACATAATAACTTTACATTTTCCAACTACATCAATTGTAGTACCATTGTAATTATTAAAGTGACTTTGATTAGTCAAACATTCTCTCTCTAAATTAATTGTTTAAATTAGGCAATGGTACATTACACTGAGCTCCAGTATCCAACTTAACAAATAAATATTTAGAATGTTTACTTTAATCTTCTACTGACCCTAAAATATTCATACCATTATTATGTAATCATGCTCTAAATTTTTGTACAACATTAACATTTTTAAAAGTGCACATTTTAGAAAAGTGATTTTTTTTACAGTACAAGCAATCTTATTATAAGCAGGCAGTTGTATAACTATGAAAAGTTCCAATTTCTACATGTTTTGGATTATTGTCTTATTCTGATATTGAAGAAGATTAGTACTTTGTTTTACATGATAGTCTTTCTTACAAGGCTGACTTTTTCTTCTGAAGGTCGAAATTTATTACGTTTGATAGCTTCTATTTATTTCTTCAATTAAAGTTTTCAGCTGAAGTTCTGCTAATTCAGAAGCTTTACACATTTTAATACATTTCCAATGTTAACTGATCTTTCCTTAATAATCTGTCTTTGAGATTTTTATTTAGAATTCCACTTACTATTCTATCCCTATTATTAAACTATCTTTTAATTCTGCAAATCCACAGTTGCTACTTAATTCTTTTTAAATCGGTTAAGAAATCATTCAAACGATTCACCTACATGATGTGTTCGACAGAAAAATATATGTCTATCAACACTTTCGTTTGCTTTCGGTATGCAAAAATGTTCGAAAGCTTCAATTACTTTGTCAACATCCTTCTTATCTTCTTCACTTTTTGTTTAGAACATCTTTTTTACCCAGGCTGCATGGTTCTTGAAAACAGATTTTCTTTTTTTAATCAACCACGGGCTGCGCCATGTGTTGTATTTTATATGTGTTGGGTACTGCTCAGTTATGATTACAAGATGTACACAAACATCATTTATTCTACATTACTCATCTACTATTCTATATTACAGTTATGGTTAAACATAATAATAGATACAGTTACAGTTACATATATAACACCATGTGCCTTCAAATGCCGCAATTTAGTGGACAACTAAAGATATCTATCTGTTGGCCAAAATGTAAACTAAACATCTAATACTGTATATAATTTATTTTAGTGGTTAAACGGGGAAAAAACAGGCTGTGCACCTCAACAAAGGAAGAAAAACACATCCCACAGAAATCGCGGGATGAGCAGATTTTGCTACATTTGAGTTGCCCATTGAAATCACAGGATGAGCAGCCAGGGGGTTAAAGTTTTTTGATAAAACTGCATCAAATCCATGGGAGGTAGCAACAATGGCATCCAGCCATTGTTTCTGATATCAGCACTGTTGCCACTTGGAAAAATGAGGGTGATAATTCTGTGCAGTTTTTAAATTTAATGTTTCTCTTAGATACTGGATGTTTGTTTTCCCGTCCATTTAAAAGCCAGATGGAGGCTAGCCGCATAGCGGCTAGTAACCTTGTAAAAGGAGATTAGTTAGAAACTGGGTACAGCCTGTCCCGGCTAGTGAATATAAGTTCACTTTATAGCCAAAAATCGGCTGCATCCAAGAGAACAACCAAGGAGAGGAAGAAGAAATAAACAGAGAAAAAAGGAAAGAGGGTAGCAGTGGTGAAACGGTGAAGAAGCAAAACAGGCTGAAAAGAACCCCAGTCCACTGCTTCCCATAAAAAGAAACCTCATCATTCAGGCAAATAAACCTTAATTAAATATAATTCTAATTTATTAATCAAATTCTTCTTATGCTATATTAAAATACAATGCTCTAATAAATTTAAAAAAAATCTTCATCTCCAAATCAAGTAATTTCTTATACAGTGGATAAAAAAAGTATTGGCAATTGCCTTAATTTATTCATTTTGACAAATAAATAAAATGTTATGCAATTTTAGCTGTCGTAAATTAAATACCAGACATCTTAGATCTATAAAAATAGTAAAAATTTTATTTTAATTTGCATTTTCTACGATTTCTTCTTTGAAAACAAAAATTGCATGTCAAAAAGTATTGGCAAAGTTTTCTGCTATTAAATTTTGTTAAATTGAAGTTACGTGTTTCGATTGTTAAGAAACTCTACCGGTATAAAGTCTTTATTAGGCTCAGAAATGAAGGTTTAACTTATCGTGCTATAGGAGTGCAGTTGAATATAAGTTTATTTACTGTCAGAAGTGTTGTACAAAAGTTCAAGGAAACAGGATCAACTGAAAATAAGACTACAAGTGGACGACCTCGAATATTTTCTACAAGAGAAGAACGTGTCATCATTAACAAGGTTAGGAAAAACCCTAAAATAAGTGCACCCCAGATAGGTAGAGATGTTGCTTTCACTTCGCAAAAGACTTTCAGTGTACAGACTGTACGGAATGTTTTACACGAGAGAAGTTATTATGGAAGGTCAGCTAGAAAGAAACCATTCATCTCGGAAATAAATAGGAGAAAGAGTTAGATTTCGCAAAAATCCCACGTTGATTTATCTGAAGAGTTTTGGAACACAGTTATTTTTTGACGAATCAAAGTTTAACATTTTTGGCAGTGATGGACGATGATATGTGTGGAGGAGGCCAAATACTGAATTGGAAAAGCAAATTTAACTGTACTGTAAAAACATGTGGAGGCAACATCTTAGTTTGGGGCTGTATGGCAGCTAATGGAGTGGCAACCTGTATTTTATGATGGTATTATGACAGCACGTACATACATTGACATTTTACGCCATAACTTAAAAAACAGTGCCCAAAAAATGGCTTGGGAACATCATTGTTTTTCAAAAGACAATGACTCCAAGCATACAGCAAATCCCACCGTGAAGGCTACTCTACTGCTCCTCGCCAGTGAAAACCGACCCAATCGCCTGACATCAATCAATTGAAAATTTATGGCACCTGATGAATCTAGAAATAAGGAAACATAAAATTTTAAGTAAAGACGACTGAAACGTTTACTCTTGCAAGAGTGGCAAATTTCTAACAGCACACAAAGACCTTAGTTTCCTCTATGAGAAATGATTACAAGCTGTATAGAGTAAAAGGTATGCAAAAGTACTAAACATATACTGATTTGTTTTTGCTCTAATTTGTCAATTTCATAATTTTGCCAATACATTTTTATAATGTAAATTTGGATTTTCTCGTAGATTTGATTATTAAAAAAATATTTTAAATGAAAATTTGTTAATTTGTTTGTCTTTTCTCCTTCTGTAATCACTATGCTAAAATAAAATTTGTAAACATACTTTGTTAGCAAATATGATCATTCATAGGCAATTGCCAATACTTTTTTTTTATCCACTGTACCTGTTTTGTCCTCTTTCTCTTCGCAAATAGGACAAACATCAAAATAACTTAATCTATTTCTATAAACAAGTTTCATAATTACGACATTTCATTCTAATATACTGTTTACAGCAGCTTTGAGTCATTATGAAGAACAATATAAAAATATAAGCAGATGAAGGAAAATTTACCTTAAAACTGCAGTGTAATTCAGATAGTTAACAAAGCTGAAAAAAAAAATTTTTGAAACTTACTTCTGAATTCTTTTCCAGAAGACTAATTAGCTCATGGACTTCCTTATATTTAGCTTGTAAAGCATTACTTTCCACAGAGTCTTTCAATTTACAATCAGTAATAATATTATTAGAATCATACTGGATAGATGCATTTTCGGTAGTTAGATTAGAGTTGCCAGGGAAATCAGACTGAAATTCACTGTCTTCTGAAACTAGAATTTCATCTCCTTTAACTTGAAGACTACTCTTGGAGCAAACTGCAGAAGATTTAGTGGCAGTTTGCTCTGTTTCTGATATATCATTTCCATCAGATTTTAGGGGACTTAAGTCAAGCTCTTTTTTTAAATTTTCTCCACAATGATTAGAATGAATTTGTTTTACATCCGAGAACTGGCCGACAGCTTCGGAAGATAATGCAACTTGTAAACGCATTAGGTAGTCTTTGAGGTAATAAAATAGAGCATATTCGTCTTTACAAATCACAGATGTCATAAATAGTAATAAAATATACATCAATTCACAATCATTTAAGCACAGAAGGTGAGAGTCGGTAAAAATTGGTGATCGTTCAATCATACTGTATAAAGTACTTAAATCTATAACCTTTCTTTGGTCCTCGTTTGTATGAATATCTGAAACAGAGTCACTTTTCTCTCTCATAACAATATCAACATTTATTTG